ACATTGAGTAGATAGCGATGACTAAGAAGATCAGAAGTGGTCGACAGATACAAGTCATCCGAGAAGTCATCCGAGGATATGGTCGAGGAAGGACGATCGAGGGGGCATGGACGTACAGAACTGGTAGAGTATCGGAGCACACAAGGGAATCTCCAACACGTAAGGGAGAGGACGGCGGACTATGAGTGGTCAACAGCCGTAACCAACTCTGACATTCTTGACAAAGACGACGTGTTTTCTGACATCGAGGATAGTGGAGGCGCGCGGCTGTACGGACGAGCAGAAGACAATTAGCCGAACTCGCCTTGCTCGCGCGTGCAGCTCAGGTAACTCGCCTTTATAAATAAGGGCGAGAATCCTCATTTTCGGTAGAATCTCATACACTCTTATACTTTTTCATACACTCATATTATCTCTCAAGATCTGACTTGAGCGTTGGAGGCTCTTCACCGGAAAACACCTCCGGTGTGGGAGTTTCGTGCAGGTTCCGCGTTCAACCGGCGAGGAGAACGAGCTTAGGGCGATTTCCAGCCGGTCAGGGTGCGAGACTTGTATTAGGACTAAAATAGTAACAATAAATAAAAGTAATAAAAAATTAAATTAAGTATCCAAATGTTCCTGCTTATCTTCATCTCCATCACTAATTAAGTTAATAGGCTAGAACTGCAATTTTCTCTGTATCATAACTACACAATAACAATCGTTTTTTATATCATTATTTTATGAGAATACAAAATGTTATGTCAATCTGATTGTAAATTACGTAGCATTTGCAAAAAAATTATTTAATTACGTAATTCTTATTTTAAATATTTTTAAATCCAGAAACTTACTTTAAATTGTCTTAATTTTAAGCATGTTTAAAATATTTAAAAATATTTTCGTAAGTGCTATTTGTTTATACGATTTAGATATTTTGGCTATAATTTTGTGAAAAGATTAATAAAGATTATTAATCTTAATAATAAGAATGATTTTTATCTTTCAATTATGTGAAAATGAAAAAAAAAAGTTTATTTTTTATTATTATGACACCAATATTGAAACATCTCGATACTTATGAGACTGATTATGATATTGTGTCATGTCAGAAGCTATGCGGGATATAAACAAGTTGTATGGTTAATAAGACACATTGGCATGACATGTCGTTTTTTGATCTGATTTTGATTTTTATAATTGTCTTATTTTTGATTGATTTAAAATGTACAAAATTAGTTTTGAGAACACAATTGCAATGAGACCAATATTGGAACACCGCAATTATTATAGGATTGATTTCGATATTTTTTTCGAACTCACTACCAAATTGTTGTTGGAAAAATCAATTATAAAACTTGGGTTTGACCCGGTTTTGACTAAATTTTTTATGGCTAAATATTTTATTTGAGTTGAATTAAATATTGTAGAAAAATTCTACGTTCCGAGTAGATACTCGTGGTATATTTATTTTCTCAAAACTGATTTTCGGTGAGTGAGAAATAAATTGTTAAAGTTAACCATAAAAGGGCACGTAAAACGTTGGTTGTCGGATTTGAAGGGTCAAGAGTCACTCCCAAATTAGACTCTTAAATGAGTTTAACTCTCTTTATTTTAATAAAGAGAGTTGGAGAGGTTACAACAAGCACAAAGCTATGCACCAAGTGTTGGTGTTGTTTTCGGCCACACGCACGCATGCGCACGCCCGCCGGCCGGCCGGCTCGGGCACGGACACGGGCATTGGGCCGTGGGCCTTGACAATTGGACTTTGGGCTGGACTTGGGCGGTTGGGCTTGGGCCTTGGGCCCAATCACTATATATCTTTTTGCTGCAAATTTATTTGTAATTTTTAGACCCAACTGAAAAATCCAATTTGGATTTGGACTCAAGTTTTGACCCAACCCGAGTGAGACCTCTCCAGGTACAACTGCCCATTATCTCTGCCTTTAGTGGCAGATGCGACTGCTGGTTTCCCTCAAGATGTGGAAGTCCTATAAATAGGACTTTGAGTTGCAGAGAAAATACACAATATTCTTCATACAATCTGAATATTCTCAAAGCCTCACGCATCATATCATAGTGCTCAGTTCTCGTCTTCGTTTCCGTTCGCTGGAACTCTGAAAGCTGGTGTGCTACAACTTCCGAGTGTATTGCCGTTGTATTTTTAGGGACATTACGCACAGACCCGTCAGCACTATACGAGGTGTATTTGTCTTGCGGAAAGATTTCAATCGCCTCGGCTTTCAATCTGTCCGAATTTGAGTTGTAATTTTTATTTTGTTTTAGTTCTTCTTGTACGAACTGAACACTTCAGTCAATTCATAGGTTCCCGTTGTAATTCAAACACTACATTGTGTAACAATTGTTTTATACAAGAATTTGTTATTTTTTAAAAGATAACTCACTTGGTACGACGGTTTCCTTGTGACATCTTCTTTATTCCTATGCTTAATTATTTATTTATCATTCACTA